TTACTATATATATTTTATTATATCGAGCTAAAGTTCATTAATACTGTAATTTATTGTATCGAATCTTTACTATATCGAGAGTTTACTATAAAGAGCTTGACAGTATAATTTATAATTAGGCGAAAATAACACATAGTAAGCCAGGGGATTAAGTAAAAAATATTTCGTATAAAAAAAATAATAAATATACCTTAAGTATAGTTGATTTAGTCTTGAATCAACTGCCAATTCCTGGAGAGAGATAAGAAAACAGTAGCTATTTTATATAAGATAAAATAATAGCATACAATATCATCATATCTATGTTTTATATAGAAACTTTTTTTATTAAGTATTCTATATACATATATGTACATAATAAAAAAGCAATTTTCGTGTCAAAAACAAAAATTTAAAATTACTTAATAGTTATGAGGCACGAAGTGCCGAATAACAGTTATTTGCAGAATTTGATCTGATTGATCGATTTTAAGCACCGCAGGTGCGCATATTGATTACTTCTTACCAAATTTAAGGAGTGCATATAAAATTTTTATTTGTTCTTGCTTAATATCTCTTCTTTTTCATAAACTTTTTGAACTAATTAGATCACATGAGCAAATAACGATAAGGCAACATAGTGTTTCTAATGTTAGTGAAGCGCGATAGCGCTTTACTAGTATTGAAACACTATTTTGCCGAAGTTATGAAGTCACTTCGTGCTTTAATAACTGTTTTATCCGGGTATTGGAATTTGCGTTTCAACTGTTGTTCGGCCTTTGAAATTATAAAATTTTGGTTAACACATTGATCCGGTTTATTTTAAATTCGGTACGGATTTAAAATATACCAGGATCAATGTGTGAATTCGCGTGCATAAAATTTTATAATTTCAAATGCAAATATATTTGGATGACCTTAACGATTTTATTAGTTATAATATATACTATATATATAAATATTAAATATAAAATAAACTATATATATACAGTATATATTATATAATCTATACATAGCATTTCCCCTAATCTAATTTCGAATCAATTCTGCTGGTAAAATAGGAAATTGGTTTTTCCATATTTACATA